GTTTATAAGAGCTACATCAAGAGGCATGCATTATTTCAGCTACTGTAACGACTACACTCTATGTAAAACAGCAAATGGCTTGTGCATACGTCTCTGCATTTATTTGCTCACCTTTCCTCACTTTGGGGGTTCTGTTTGGTCTTAACACTGGATCCTCTCAGGATATCCATATATCCTCTTTGAATGAATTTCTCTCTTGCCCTCTTTCCAATCACCCATGCAACGAATTTTCTTCTTCTGTTGATCTTGCCATTAACTCAGAGCCCTGAGTGCTATGAAACCACATCTTTCTGTTCCTTTCCTGATCAAACTTTCTTTTTGCAGGCCACTGCTTTCACAAGTTGTGTCTTTGTTCTCCTGATTTGGGATTTTCCATTCTCCAAATGGTCTAACCAAAGAAAATGGATAAAACAGTCTCCTTTGACAGTCTGGACATGACTTAATGACCTTCTGTTGTCCTTGGTCTGAAAGATGACATAGCCCCAGCTTCACATACGTGAGGTACTTGGTGGTATAGTGATTGCATAAGATCAATCAGGATTCCTGGGATGTGTTTAGACAGGTTCCCCAATTGCCACACAAATATTTTGAAAGTAATCTACTCCTGTGTCAGAAGTGATATGTCTAAGGCCTCACTGTAGGAAGTGACAGGACTCTATTGTTCAGCATAACTGAATTTGGGCTTGTTTCGCATCGTGCTGACAGACTGGCAGGCTCAGCCAGGACCACACGTCTGCAGCACTGGAGGTGTACCTTTAACCTCCAGCTGCAACAGCAAGCTCTAACTTGGTCTTCCTATAAAATGCTAAGTAATGCAATCCAGCACTGGAGTTTTGCTAGGGCAAAACTGATGTATTCCTGTTCTGGAACTGATAGACAAATGGCATCAGACAAAGATGAGTAACAAAGAAGAAATTTTTCTATATAGTTTCTCACCACTACTGAGAAAAACTCACATTACAGAGTAAGGACACTGCAACAAGCACTAATGTACAGGGGAATGTGCTGCAGAACATTTACCTTGTGTCACTGCCATCTATTTAAAATATCTGGTCTAGCAACACCTGAACTGCACGTTTAGGTGTGTGGCTGAGAGAGCAGAGAGCCCAGAGAGAGCTCCAACGTTGACCTGGGTTCGCCTACCCTACAGTAGATATGGAGGTGCCTGAAGAGTTCTCAAAAAATTATTCTGACAGTTCCCTGACCTGAAGAGCCTTCAACCATGACAAGAACAGAGAAGAGGCTGTGGCATACACACACACTGTTAGTGTGTCTTATGTCTAAAGATAAAAGGAAGAAAGCCAAACCAGAATAAAACTTGCATCATTCAGCACGGTTCACAGAATAACCTCATTATCTAACGGACTCAAAGATTCTCACCTTTTCCCAGATATCAGTTTTATTGACTCCATCTTGTTTGCCTGTGCCATTCATTCATCATCCCACAACCTGCAGGTGGTGGTGGGATCTGTACAGCTCCATTTGTCCTAATTCTATGCTGGCTTTAGGTTTCAGTCTTGTATGTTTCTGCCTGAACAGCATCCACACAGGCAAGGCAACCAAAACAAGCAAGAACTTGTTGAGTAAAGACATTTGAGGCAAATTAGGTCTGTTGCAATACTGAGGTGACAGCCACAGCAAACTAGGCATAACAACACCCCTTGTAAAACAGGGAGCTCAGCAACAGGCTCAGAGTCTCAGCTGGCTAATCGCAGAGGGACGCTGCTGATACGCACCGGTGGAGGGCCTTATTTCTCCTCCCAGCCAAGTCTGAGTTCCTTATTTTTTTCCCTTGCAAATATAAAAAGAGCTTAGAATCCCCTAGAGCAATAGGTGCGAATAAATCATTATAACTGATGGAGACCACTTTTATTGTGAGCCTTCTAGCTACTTTTAGGATTTCTTCTGCTTCTTTTCATTTCTTCCTTCCTTTTTTTCTACTTAGTCACTTGTTCCTTCAAAGTTCACAATGTGGTTCAGCCCTGAGTCCTCTGCTAGATGCCAAGTTTCAGAGTTGCCAAAGTACCTATCTATGCACACCAAGCATTATAAATAACATTTCCACATTTAAGCCAACTGGATCCTGAGCTAACCTGGTTTATAGCCATCTGGAATTCTTCAGAAAAAGTGACTTGTAAGCACTGTAAACAGTTTTGTCTTCCCAGAGGACACCAAGAGTTTCCAGCTCCATTGCCATCTTCATTTTGCAATCTGAGTTCAAGAGCAAGGTATAGATTTAAAGAAGAAGATAATGCAAATAGTATTAATAAAAGAAAGCCCGGAGTGATCTGCTTTTTCCCTAATAAGGCAGGTTCTATCAGTGTCCCAAAAGCAGCAAGGTGCCAATACAATTAATCAGTCTGTTTTTAGTTCTCCCTAGACAGCAATATTAACAGTTTGTTTCAGTCTGTTTATATGGGTCTGACAGGTCTTCAAGATGCTGTGTTCACTTTCTTGTGATTAATAGTCATTCACATACTAAGGTGAAGACCATGCAGAAAAAGAATGTTTTTAGTGCAGGACAGATAACTGGAATCTCTCCCCCAGTCTTTCATTTCTAACTAGGAAACAGTACTAAATTTAGGAATGCTGTCTCACCACATTGTTTAAACTCCTCCTTTCATTGCAACTTGCCCATGTGATGAGCCAAATGGAAATTTAAATCACATATTTTCTTTGTTTACTTTTCAGCTGTGCTCTATAAAGCCATCACATTGATAGTGAATGCCTGCACACTGGAATACTAGATGCAGAAAGAAAAGCCATTGGGACTGTTTTGAGCAAGGAATAACTCCTGGGAAAAGAACCTTTCTTCCTTTCCATCTCTGCAAACCTCTTAGGGGAGATCTGAGGGACTAACTGAGCACCAAACCCACCCTGACAGCAGCTTCAAAGACCAAGAAGGAGCTGGACTCTAAGGCGCTTCTTGTACATTCCTTCAGTGGCTTTTACAGCACTTCTAGTAAGTCCTACCAAACTGGAGATGCTTCCCTAGCACAAAAGCAAACCCTTCTTGGGCTGGGATCCTCCTCTCCCCACAGAGAGCTTTAGCTGAAGACAGTGTGAAGGAACCCTTAGATAAGAGAAGGGAGTATTTGAAGTATTTCCCAGTTTCCCCTTCTGCCATTCTGGGTATTTCATTTTGATATAGGGAGTTTTTCCTCTCTTCTCCCAGCCCCAAGGAAAGACTAGGCACACACTTCTGGGCTAATTTTTGTCCATTCTCTCTTCTCTCCATTTCCTCAGCACTTGCCATCTCTCCTTTTTGGAGGTAGATTTTGGGGCTCCCCCTTTGCCCTGGTTCCTTCATTAACACTTACTTTCCTGAGATCCCTTCCCTCTTTGAATCTCCTCCTTCTCCTGGCTTTCCCTCATCCCTTTGTCTCTAGTCCATTGATTTCTCTGCTCAGGACTCCTTTGATCTCTCTCTTCTTTCACTCTCTTACCCAAGTCCATTCAGTCTCGTGCCTCCTCCTGTCTATTTTAATCAAGGCATTCTTTCCTTCAGCGTTAATCAGAAAGCATAATTTCTTTTCTGCCGCTATTTCTGAACAGTAGCCTTCACAAATCTTATTCTCCTTTTCGTTTTATTGCAGCTGAAGAGGATGACATAGGAAAGTTATTATAGCTGAATAGCAAAACAGCTCTGCAAGATAATACCGTTCTCCATAATAAAAGAAAAATGATCCTAATTTTTAAAATGCTGTAAGCTGCCCCATGAAATAACAGGAATTGAGCGATAAGACACAAACACATATTAACACACACTGGCTCTGACATAAGAACTGTCATGCCCTCCAGAAACCTCTCGCTGTATCTTTCTCTTAGTTGTCCTAGGCAGTTCATCAAAACAATGACACAGGTTATGTACCAAATAGCAGATCACCTCACTCCATACCTGGGATAAAGGCACTACTGCAGCCTCCTCCCCCTCCCAGAGAATTCAGATTCCCCATTCCTAAAGCACTGTGCTCAAAATACAGTCACTTACGTCACTCGCTTTCTTGCTCTTTGGCAGCTCATAATTTCAAAGCAGTGGCTTTCCTATTTTCAGTCTTGTCTTACTTACAAACTTGGTGTATACAAATGCTTACAGATGCATTTACCATCAGGTCAGCCACACGTGCCTGGAGCTACTCACCTCACAGTACGTCAGGCACACAAACATGTCCCCACCTCTTTCGGAGACCCACAACAAAAGTAACTTGGCTTTTTTAAGGTCACAACTGTGGCTTCATGGTGTTAAGAAGATCGTTCATTTTTAGCTTGTTAGAAAAATGCAGCATTAGCTGAATGGACTAAGATACAGGATTTTAAAAATAAAGTTCACTTTTTAGAAAACTACTGTTTCCACCACAGAAAACTCAATATGAAACACTTTTTCCTGTGCTGTGACCATGTGTTTCACAATAAACAAAACACTCAGCACAGCCACATCATGGATGGAAAAGATAGTGGCTGAAGAAGAACACAACTGCTTTGGTGTCACGTAAATCATATGCTGGGTTACATGCTGGGGGCCTACCTCTGGCCTCTCCCTTTGGGCGAGATCCTATCACAGAAGAGGGCAGAAGTGCCAGGCAGGTGGTTGACTCTGGCCTCTCTCATGCTTTGCCATACTGTGAGGTGTTTCAAAGGTCCCAACAGTGGCTACCACACACTGCAATGCCATGGCAGGAAGCATGAGGGATCACACCTGACTGAAAATACCCACGCACAGCCAGGAAGCCTGAGGGGGAGTAAAAGATGCTCATGACAATGTGTGACCCCTGGGCTAATAGTTGTCAAGAACAACTTCAGATATTCAGACCCTATAAAACCATTTTCTTTGGCAGTAGATAACTCAGCTGACCAGGGAAGTCAGACACAAGCACATATTTCTAAACACGTAACACCTTCAGAACTAGATTGTGAGGGGGGAAAAAAAGAAAAAGAACATGACAGGGAAAAGCATCATGACAAAGAAACTATATCCTTGTGCTGTGTGTTGTAGTTCTTACCTTCTACGCAGATCTTCAGCCACTGCTGCTCTGCAGCTGAACAAATAGGCTCGGAGAGATTTTAGCTGCTGTCTCAGGCGGACGACAGTTGCCAGAGATTCAACATGCTTGTACAACATGGGATTTTCCTGCTGGATATCAATCAATGGCTCCTCATAAACGTATTCCAGGAACTCTTTGGCTTGCTTTGATACCTGAAAAATAAAGCCGTTTAGATAGGCTTTCCTCCCAACTCTTTTTAAGCAGCTCTTCCCCTCTGTAATGTCAGCTATTCTCTGCATCTGAAAACTTACTGTTACCAATTATAGATGAAGACAGAGCTGAGAGAGATCCAACTGTCTCTGCTTACAGACGAGTCAAACTTCATCAAGCCCATCAAAGTTGAGTGTATGAGATAACTGCTTACTTACCCAACGTACAATGATATCTGCAGCCACGTGTGTTTTCACTGTAGGCTAACAAAGCTTACTAGTTGTTTTTCAAGTCTCAAAACTGATTACCAAGTTTCTTCCCTGGTAATATTTTTCTGTTTGTTTGCTGTTTTCTTTTTGGCAAGAAGCAAGTGATTTGGTAAGTGCCAAAGTACAATATTAGAAAAAGAAACATACACACTGCAAAAGCAATCGCATTGTATTATCGCAGGGTATAGAATTCCAGTGTAAAGTACTACTCCCATTTGTTTCACGCTCAGCCAGTATGGTTAAAATTATGTAAAAAGAAAATAACCAGAAGCACAGCTATCAAGTTGTTGTGTTTTTTAAAATACCAATAAATAAAGTTGAATTTTACTGGTACTACTCACTCCCAATGTTTCATCTGCAAGAAATTTTTCTTATGGCTTTTTCACGATAGTGCTCTGTTCTATCTCCACTTGCAAAGAGCTACTGTAATCTTGATAAATTAATGGGACTTTTTTCCCACTAGAAAAGATACTCCTGTTTCTTGGGTGAGAAGTCCAAATTCCCTCTCATTCCTTATTTCTGCATTTTATCACAGCTGGAAAAGAGATGATGGAATTACATGAAATGAGCTGCAAATCACTTGAAACTGTGCTACAGAAATAACAGTTACACAGTTCTATTAGTCCTCCTGGGCCTTTAAATCAGTGTTTACAGTAAGTCACAGGAGGGATGAATTAGGCTAACAAAACAGAAAGGGCACACCACTCTTGAGATTTAGGATGTTATTGCCCTTCTAGTGCAGTAAGGCTATAAGGTAGGAAGTAGGGAAAAGCAATATACATCCTTATAAATTGCACCATTTCCAAAACCAGCACAAGCTACTAGCTACAGGAGTCACTAACTACTTACAGGGAAAGATAGCACCAGATGTAACCATTTCATGATGCATAATAAAAATCTAAGAAATAATGCTAAGGCCAGCCTTCCCACTAATAGCTACACAGATAACAAAATGTGTAATTTTCAATACAGCAGACTATAACTCCACAGGTTTTCCAGGCCCTGAAGCTGTACTAAACATCTCACTTGTATTAAACATCCCACTCATTTCTTTCTCTTTCCTTTTTTTTTCCAAATAAATAATGCATGTACAAAGAACTGTGCTATCTGAATAGAAGCACAGGTAACATGCTGTGTAAGGAGAAACACAGGCAACTTGAATTTTGCTGAACAAAACTCTACAAACTCCAAATATGTCAAGTTTTCTAACACTATCAACGTTGATGTTTTATTAAACATGCTTAACTGCATTGCACAAAAGAGACTGCAGTAGAACAACCTGCTTTTAAAATCATTAAACTATTTGTCTGTAATATCTCAGCAATCCCCTGACAACTGCTGTATCTATAGTAAATATTATTCATCTTCCACCAATGGGTAAATTAAGCCAGATATTCAGTGATTCCCTAGAAGGCACATGAAGGCTTGGCACAGTGACTAGCACCTCCCACCAGGAGGACCTGGCACCCAGTCATGTCTTTGTAGTCTTACTTCCTTGCTTTAAATCCTTGCTGAAGTGATGGGCTTCTCATCCTCCTGCCCTGCAGTCTGGGGAACCACAGGGTGATTCCTGCTGAAGTACTACACCCCCAGCTGTGCAAACTTGTACTCTGTACGGGGCAACCCTCCTGAGCCTGCCATGTTAAGAGCACAGAAACAACAAAAGAATGCCTGAACTGAGGCCACCTGAATGACTCTGCAATGCATGCTGCGCTACGATGACAAGGTATTACCGTGTGGCTCTGGTGCTGCAGGGTCTGAATGCAGGGGAGAGGAGCAAAGCAAACCTTTCTCTCTCCTTGTTGATTGCTGGAAAAGTAGCTTTGCCCAGCATCACTGGCTGACGTGTGGGTGTTGGTTCACTCTGCATGGCTGACACAGGCACACAGGTCATGTAAAACATTAACTCACATTGCCAACCATAGCAAAGTTACAAGAAGCTGAAAGGGTCAGGCAGTCACAATAATTCAGCTTGCTACCAGCCAATGTTCCAGTACATGTACTAATATACTCACAGTCCCCCAGTTTTTCTGGGCAGACTAGACAATCCTATTAAATAAACCAAGAAGGAGTGAGAAGATGAAGAGTGCAACAGGGGTTTACCTTTAAATGTCAAACAAGGATGGATGCTAACATTTCCAAACCTTTCTTTTCTAGAGGCTGCAAACTTATAGTTCAGAATTCAGTTTACCAGAAGTCAGTCTCTCTTAAAGCCTTCTGGCACAGGGAGTTCATTTCCTGCCTGTGTTTGTCTGGCATTTTGTGCAGGCTGGAAGCCACCTGAACCAAACTGCAGTACTTACTGGTTTTTGCGTGCAAATGGGGAAAACAGTTGGCCTAAGCAAAAGGAAGAAAGGACGTTCACAAGATTGCCTCTTTACTTTTCCCTTCACACAAACACATGAAAAACACAAATATTAAAACAGTGGGGAGACACAGGGGGAAGAAAAGTGAGCCTGGGGACTGAACTGCAGCTTTGGTTATGACAGAAGAAACACGCCTCACTGCCAAGTCCTTTCAAAGAGTTTTTATTGCAGTCAGGGGGATTTTTCTTTTCCTACCAATGTGCTTTCAGGTGTTTAGTGCGTTTTTTGTTTTTTTTTTTTTCCAAGTTCCTCTGTATGGGAAGACACAACTCTACAGATTTCTAGCACTGCTGTTTTTTCATGACCTGTCTTGCCAAAAGCAGACAAGAACCTCTCCATTTGCAAAACCTACTTAACTGATGCAACAGTTCACGGCTGCTGCTCAGATGTCTAGGAGCCCACGAAACATAAAAGAGAAACATGCCCAATTACACTGTATCATCATAAAAGCTCAGGTCCTAGAGTACCTATTGGTGCTTGCTTTGCCAAAGACAGATCGGACAGACCCCAGCAGCCCCCCCAGAGGCAGGGAAAAGGTGTCAGTGGGAAGGAGTGCAGGCACACTGGCCAATGATGGGAAGTGAAATGCTGACAAATCAAGTGATCTTCCTTTAAAAATGAGCACAAAGAAAATTATTACTTCCAAGATCACTTCAAGGAAGTGGGACACAGCATCTGTCTTTGCCAAATCAGCACGTTTAATCAAGACATTGCTAAGGAATCGTGCAGTTTCATCGTAACTATTAAGTGCAGCAGCCAGCACAAAGTTGCCCTGTAGACCATACAGAAGAAATAAACATCAGACCTTATCTCAGAATGGAGAAAGGACATGTGGATATAAAAGTGCAGGCAATACGTGCTCTACCTCAGAAAAATACTGCTTAGTTCCCATGGAGGTATAGCAGGGACAGAAATAAAAACATATGTCTGCGGGATTGAACAGAAAGGTGAAAATCACAAAGATTTCACAACAGTAGCAAGAACTACTTGTTATTTTTATGCTATGCAGGGATGGGATGGAGTTGAGGAGATCCAACCAGTGATTTAAACTCAGCTGTCACATGATGTCCCCTTCATCTTCCCTCCCTGCCTTAGTTTCCACTCTAGTAGTTAGGGATGCTGAAGGGTTTTCCTACCTAAGGGATGCTGTTCCTTTCTTAAATCCACCTCTCTGAGCCTTTGGCACAGAGACTAATAAATTATCTGTACAGAATTTCACAGAATCACCATGGTTGGAAGAGACCTCTGAGATCATCGAGTCCAACCACAAAAACAAACAAACAAACCCACCAACAACACAAACACCCCACCACAGCACACATGCTTGTGCAAGTGTGAATTTTCTTGTGCTCCCAAGCCACCTCATAGCTGTTCTGCCCGCCTACAAAAAGTGCAAATTGATAACTTCTCATTATTACAGTGTTTTACAGTAGATGAAGTTTTCAATGAATGCTTAGGCTTGAAAGTCCCACTTCCTTTTGTGCCTCAGCTGCCTACACCAAGACCACAGGAAACAGAGCATAGTTTTTAACTTGCAGCTTTAGAAAACAAAACAGTTTATTTTCTCAGCATTATTACTGACAGCTTGATATGAGGTCTTTGCCTTACCATCCACTTGCCACATATCAGGGCTACCGATACTACCACAGACTAGAAAGTTTAGGCCTTGCTAAAAGCATACAAAGAAAGAACTCTTAAATATTTATTCCTAGCTTCTAGGAAAGGGAGGGAGTTTTGCCTCCACATATAGGAGCTTTATAACTCTGAAGAATCTCGCATTTTATGGTGCAAAACTATCATTTTCCTGATGGCAGGCTCTGGCTACCTTTTAATAATCTCCCTGTCTGACAAATTTTCTTCTTCAAGAGAGCTGCTTTTCCTCTAATAGGGCATTTACTGGTTATTTTTTTTTCTTTTCAAATAGCCCATAATAATAATATTTGCAGACACAAAACATCAAACAGCCTCTCTCCCTAACAGTGGCTGCTAAGTCTGAAGCTCTAGCATGGTCTGGATTCTTTATGAGTTTGTTATTGTTTCAACATATGCTCTCTGAGCTCCTGAACAAGCAGATGAGCAATCATGGAAAAGATGCCACCAAGAAAGAGGAGCATGGCTGCTCCTGTGGAGGAACGCCTTAGGCCTGGCTAAGGAAACTGTGATGAACACATCTGTCTCATTGAGAGAGTGCAGCTCTTTCTGGCAAGAGGGACAAAGAAGTACTAGCAGTCAATGCCTGTAACCTTCAACCTGTTGTGATGTCTGTGTTTCTATCTAAAGAGCCATTCAGGTCACTTACTAGCAAGCCAACCTGCAGGGAGATTACCTTGTATTTGGAAGTGTCCCAGTTATGAACCAGCCGTGCAGGGATAAGGAAGGTGTCATCCACGTGGCAGGTGCTGCAGTAATACCATCCACTGTAGCTGCAAACCTTGGCTTTCCCATTGGACAAGCCTATGGAGCGCTGACAGCCTGGAGAAGAGAGAGAGGGAAAAGTCTGCATCTGTACATCATGCCAGAGGTACAAACTCAGGATGCAGTAAGAAAAGTAATTATTCCCCCATCTGAAACCCTGTTTAATTTTTATTTATTTACTTTACCAATGAACCATTCCTCATTCCATAAAATTAAAGGGATAAATATCAGTATTCTTGAACTAGTGCTGAACAAGTACACTAATTTGGGCATCTTTTACAAAGAGTTTAAAGAACAGTCACAGGATACTTAGCACTTCCGAAAAACCAAAGGCAGAATACCAACTCTGAGACACTGGACATTTAAAAGCTATGGCCACCTGGAAACCATGACCTGAAGCTTAGACAGAAAACACCAGACCACAGTAGTGCTGCACACTTGCTCCAGACAGCTCCCATTTTCCCCACAACAGAGTGGGTCGGCATTGGCTGCCTGGAGGAGGGCAAACCAACTCCTCTGACAGCCAGAAGGGATGCAGACGTGGCAGGTAAGATTTGGCCACAGAATTTGCACAGACAAGGCAAGCCACAGTCAGACTACAAATAATAACTGTGAGCAGCAGTCACGGAGAAAGAGTAGTCCTTGACTAGCAGTAGTCATGCAGCTCAGTTTCCTGTGGATGTTTTCTTTTTTCCCTTATGATTGGATTACCCTGTATCTTACATGGTCTGAGGTCTGCCTGCTACTTCTTTCTCAGCAGGATTCCTTGCCTCGTCTCATGCCCTTTTGCATGGAGCCCCTGGGGTAAAATAATGTATTGAAAAGCTGCTGCTTTAGTTGGAAAGAACTAGTGCAGAACTCTCCTCCATCTGACCGCCTGTTTTCCCAAAACACATAGAAACTCAGTGTATTTAACACCTTTGCCTTTCCCTCAACTGTAGCTAAAATGAGCCAACAGGTTCAAATAATATTAGAGTGGAGGGTTGAAGACAGACAGCACAGTGCCATTAAACAATCTGCACAGGAAGCAAGGCTAAAAATATTTGGATATGATACAATGAGATGTCTGTGGTTGTTATTAACACCTCTTTGACACAGCACACATGACGGTATTTCTGCTTTTCCTTCAAATGCTAGTGTCCCTGTATGACATTTACAGCTACAGACACAAGCAGCACCAAAGCCCCAGTCCGGCACACGCTGTATGCTCAGACTGGAGCTGGTTAGTAACACTGATTGGCAGAAACCTTGTACATCACTTTTATGGCAAAAATGTTGGTTAAACGAGTTTTTCAGGCAGAATTCAACTACCTGACTGATTTTGCCAGTATAACTGATTTTGCTTAGTGTAATTATGTAACTCCTCCCACTGAAGGTATCTTTTTTTTCCCCTAGTATGTTATCTTGATTTGAGGAGAGATTGCAGCTCCAGGCACAAATCAAAGTCCTCCTCCTCCCCATTAGCTGATGTTACCATGTCTCCTCTGCTCTAATCAAAATAATTAGAATAACCTGACCAACACAATTAGTTCGCTTCCTCCTGTTCCACACTCCAGAGCCATTTGGTCATTGATTCTCTGCAATGCACTCTACCAAGTGAATCAGTTGTGGGACATGTTCTGTCTCCATCTCTCTCTCCCCCTTCCCTTTTATGTTACTGAAGTGAGGATATGCAGTTTCTTGAAAAACACAAATATATAAACAGGTCAGTTGACGAAAGAGATACTTAGGTTAATGTCTCCTCCTTTACCATTCATAAGATCAGAAGACAAATATAAATATCTATCTCTAATGGTATAACTTAAGATACATAATGCAAAAATATGATCTCATCTTAATAATCAAACAGAAAACCCAAACTGTAAACTATTATCATTGTAAAAATAATTTTTGTATAGTAAATACTAGCAGAACTTTTTGCAAAAAGCAGTATTTTTAGGGCAGAAAGAATGCACATATGCCTTTTATAAAGGCAAAGTCAATTCAGGTAATTCAGCAGTGTGTTAGAAAAAAAGATGACCTATGACTGTGGCTTAGAATCAGAACTTAGAAGCCAAAAGCTTCATACTTCCCTCAGTGCTAAGCACACATTTCCCCGTCTTTCCTTTCCTTTCCTGTCCTTTTTTTTTTTTTTTAAAAAAAGCAGTTTCCTGACTCGTCAGTTAAAAGAGTTTCCATGCAGTCCTGCTCCACTGTGCTGTTATGGGAGAAGTCACCAGGCACGCCTGGTAGCAAGCTCAGTATCAGTGCTCTGTAGTACACATAGAACTATTCTTTCCATTTTTCTAAATGCATTCATACATAAAGGGGAAGGTTTTGAACAGCTGACGAGACATGAAGTACCAGTCCTGCTCCTCTGACATGGCATTTGTCCCACTAGTAGTCCTGGAAGATGCTTGCAGAAGCTACTATCACTGTTGCTATGGAGCCCATGTTTTTAACAGCACAACAGAGGTAAATCTTGCCCTTCTCTAAAGGAAACGTAGAAGTATGCCCACTCCTCTCCTCATGGAGAAAGATGAAAGAACCTGTGAAAGACAGCATTCCCCTTTCCCAAGCTAAATGGGAACAAGCCCTCAGAGAGGATGTTAGTGTTAGCAATACCTCAGTACATCACATTCTTCTGTGCCAGCCTTGCTAAAAAAAGTGAAGGGTCTGAGGTCTTTCTCCTCACTAGTTGCCTCTGAATGTCCTACCACTGAAGAGCACTGAAGCATCTATCTTTATACCTCAACTGGCTCCAACTCTAGCATTTACCCAATCACACGCAATAAAACACACTGCTAAATGACATGTAGTGTTTTCTAGCTCAATGTGTTTGGACCAGCAGAGGAAGTACTAGTGGTAAAGCTGTGTCTGAATGAGACAGAAGTCTCCAAACTCATAGCCCTTGGAACCTTTATAGACGTTCTCCACTAGCCAACACTTACTCGTGTGGGGGACGACGACACGACTGGACACACTGATTTCACCTAACTGCCACTGTGCAATCCCTGCCACTCCACAGGCTGCTAGTGTGTCTCAGTGCCCTAACTTCCATCTGTTAGACTGAAGGCAAGAATAAGCTAAACTCCAATTTGAATTGCCATCACCTAAACTAAAACAGTTGCAGTTGAGAACAGGCCATTTTAAGGCCTAATTTCTTGCAACCTCCTAGAGCCAGAAACTCATTCTAGTCCACAGAGAGAGCTTCCTCAGGAGAGGAATGACAAAGCATAGAAGTGCTGGGGGACTTCACTGCTCCTCCCTATGTCCAGCCCATAAGAACTGAAGGTCTCTGGAGCACGGAAGGTCTCAGCGAGCAATCTTGGATACCCTTCCCTTCAGAAAGGGTGGTTTTATGAAGCAGATAAAGTGGAAGAAGTTCCTATTCAAACAGCATGCTTTCTCCCTTATTCCAGTCCTTCTCTGAGCCCTTGTTTGTTTCCTTGTTCCTCAGAAACACATTTTTACACAGTGCATTTCTCATTCCTTCTCATATCCTCCAGTAATTCATATTCTGCAAAGCCACATAACAGTTGTAAGGCTGGGGGTATTTTAGATGAGAATGTGGCACTGGCACCTACCTTACATTTTCCCTTACCTTACAAGCTTTTCTGTTAGAAAATCACCATCTTTTCCATTCCTATCTGTTGTGAATCATAATGAAGGCTATTTCTACAATCCTTTCAAATCAAGTTATCAAAGCACTGATTTTCTTTGATGTTATGCAGTTCAAAGTGCTGTAGTGTGACAAACATATTTCTGTGGCATAGACCACTTATGCTACTTTGTTTTTATAAGATGGAAAAAATAGAGCAAGAGTGAGAGAGAGAAAAAGAATAGAAGGAAGGAATAGCTTGTGGCTTAGTGCCTTTGGCCTGCACCTGGACATTCAAGTACGTAAACTTGCCGTGATGTTTACCAGAAGCAAAGCTAATACTGATTCCTGGCTTTAAACTCTCGAGCACCCCTCCCAGCAAGACAGTCAGACATAGCTGACCACCTCAGAGATCGATAATACAACTCAACAAATAGTTTGGGGTGGTGGAAGGGATCATTTCATGTTGGCAGAGAAAACCCTTACTTGCCTATAGCTAGAGAAAGCACCTTCCACAAGATGGGGGGAAAAAAGTAGCACAACTTTCACTAAGCCCCTCTCACCTATTCCTACTGTTCATACAGAATATTATCCATACAACATCTGTACAAAGGTCTGGCAAACTCTAAGCCTAGAGCAAGGAGAATACTGCGAAATTTACTATTACCCTAAATCATCCCAACCTAAAAGATGTTATAGAGCAAGCTAGAGAGGGAAGAAGTGTAGCTGTAGGTATACTGTTAGCAAAGTGAGGGAAGGCGTAATCCCAAACCTTTCATCACAGAAAATATAACAGAACAGCCTTGGAATCAAGCAAAGAAAATAGGGGTTAGAAAAAATAGCAGCAAGAAAGTGCTGCTGGGCACAGAGGAACCTCTCTCAACAACACGTCTCTGAGCAGAGCAGGAATATCAACATCAAGAGGCTCATCTCCAAGTGCTAAGACTTCAGGAAGAAAGAAGTGCAGGAAGATGAGGTTAAAAAGTTATAACAAGTCTCTCACCTTGACTTTAGGTGTTGGTGAGGATAGTAGGGAGGAGGAATCCAAGACACTTGAATACAATTCCTCTACTGAAATGTGTGGAAAACACCACTTCTGTCGCTTTCAGGCTGTTGCATACTCTTATAGTCAAGGAAGGCACACACAAGTATTCTTTTTATCTTATTCTTTTTCTTTAATCTTTTAGCAAGAAAAGATTGGAGTAGCTCCACAGTGAAACAGAGAAAGTGGAACTAGAATTAAGTACACAACTGTTTTCCTTATTCAATAAAGTTCCTTGCTCAGTATCAGGAAAAAGCAACTCCCTCCTGATTGTGTACCATAATTAAATCTGTGACAGATTAGCTTAGAAGCTAATTCATTTAGAAACAACATACAATATCAAGAAAAGAAAATGACCCACAGACTTCAAAAAGCTTTCAGCTTGATAAAGCCATAAAGCAGACTAAGCAGAAGGAGCAGAGAGACAAATTTTCA